AATATTTTTAATGAAATAAATTATATGGTTATTATTGCTACATTTTATTTTTCACTTTTAATACATTTATATTTCAAAAATCGGTTTAATTTTCTTAAAGTTTAAAACGGCAAAAATGTTTCTTTCAATTTTTTACAACATCGTCAACAGTATTTAATAACTTAAGGAAAAATGCAAATAAGGAAGCCTAATCATCAACACAAGGAGAATTCTGCCTTAGTAACAAGGTAATGACATAAATATGTGAAATTTATATAAATCTTTCATTTTTCAAATATTTTTATTTTTTAAAAATTCTGCACGTGACATTTATTTTTGAATTTTTTTCTAAATTTGGTGTAATTACATTAAATAGCAACGGTTTCAATACAACCACATTTCTAGATTATAGAAACAATCCTGTCTTAAAAATAGAAAACGGGATCCAAATAATATGCAAAATATAATTTCTTATGGGAAACGGGATCAAAATACTATGCATAATATAAATTTTGATTGGAAACAGGGTTCAAATGGTACGCATAGTCTAATTTCCTTTTGGAAAAGGTGCCCAAATAATATGCGTATCGTAATTTCTTATTGTAATAAGGGTGTGAACAGTATGCATAATATAATTTCTTAAATGAAACGGGAGTCCAAATAATATGCAATCATAGGATTTCTGCTTACTTTCATATCTTTTCTGATTAAATAATATAAATTCGTTTTCTGTAAAGGGAATTGAAAAGATACACTGTTAGAAATTTCTCTGAAAAAATGGTTAAATAACAATTTATTGAATGGTTATTTTACCCTATTTAATCAAAACAGTCAAATAACAGTTTGATCACTATTTTATTTATGGTTAAGTTTGAGAAAAATTGTTTATTAACTACTTTTCCTTAATACGGTTAAACACCCCGAATTTTATCGCACTCACTAGAACGACCTAATGAAGCTACTTACTTCTTTGCAAATGTGTACATATCATAGCCGAGCGGGCTTATCTGTCAATCTCATGGAACTGGTTTATGGTACCTGGCAAAACTGGAGTTTGAGTCCTAGCGTTGACACTACAATATTTCCTCCATTCCCTTCAATACATGAAGAATTTCCAGTGTCCGGCGCTCTCCAATGCCCATTACCTAACGAAAAGGCGAGCTCCTATTTCTAGTTAAACAATTACATCTCTTTTTACGTTTTTGAAAAATGCTAGTAGTAAATGGTTAAAAAGCCGTATAGTTTCGTATTCATGACTTTATAACCATACTTTTTGTAAATAGTTTCAAAATCATAAAGGAGAAAAATGTTCTCGACCGTAAACTTTACGGTTAATCGGATGGACAGACAGCTGCCAGTTATTTTACCGTAATTTTAGAAGGAAAATTTTAACAGTGCACCAACGATATATTTTTATTCTGAATATTTAGTTGTAATGCTATCTCGTTCTGCATTTTTGCTTCTTTTTGTGACTTATAGAGACTGAGAACATAAATATATTAGCAAAATTTTTCTTTTGCTTAACCCACTGATGGTTCTGCACTTACAAAGTCATATTTAAGCTGCTGTTTGCAGTCAAAATCAGTTTTTCGATGTTATAAGAAAGGGAAATAGTGTATAGGGAAGAAATTTTTCCTCAATTTTGTATCTTTGCTGAACCTCCATTAAGTTAAAAATAATATAATAAAAGTATTTATAATCATCTAATCATAAGTTAACAGGACATAAATTATAATCATATTATACAAAATGCAGATTACAATTGAGTCATTTTGAGACTTTTACTGCATAAAATTACATTATGTATTTATTTTTTGTTTTTTCGGTATTAAAAAAATTATTTTCATCCATTTTATTTTAGTCATTATATATGTATTTGTTTATCACTATTGTGTAGCAAATGGAAATTTTCTAAGTAATAAAAATAATGAATACTGACTGCTAATTAATAACAATATTATATTTGATGAAGTACGTCTCTCGTAAGTTTTTTTATTAATATTTATTGATTATTTTACAAATTCCCAAATAGCGAGTATAATAATTTACTATGCAGCGCTAATGCATACATTGTTGAAAACAATTTAGTATTATTACTAGATGTGAAGAATTAAATGAATATTTTTTTAATGTTAATGGTTGTTTGAAAAATAAGTTAGAAAAAATTGTAAAACACGAGTAAGAAGACTGCAAACCAGACTTAACGACAGTACTGTATGCTATACTGATAAAAATAGCGCCGTCAAACCAACCATAATATGATAGAAATGGTGTTTTTGACTCCATAGGTACACCAAAAAGATTGGTAATCTTTACCGAAGTGCTTTGTTAATGATTTTGGTAAAATTTACCGGTACAATATGGATCTATAATGTGTGATAAAGTTTGGCGACTGCGGTAACCCACTTATTTGATTAAATTTACTTTTCAGTTTTGTATATTTTACTAAATTTATCGTAATAAGAATTAAAATTTTGAAAACCAAAACTAAACCGTTGCTATAAGAATGGGAGAAAAATTATTAATCAGAAATATGTTTTTTTTATACCAGAAGTGTCCTTACTATACAGGGTGGTAATTTTACTAGTTTTTTTTCTCCTTGATAAAATCAACAACTTTATAAGTTTTAGATCCTATGTTCAAAACGGAGTTTTATAAATATTTTCAAATTAAAAATATCTTGTATAAGACAATTTTTTTTAATTAAAAAATGAAGGAAAAGATAGAGAACGTGTTTTAAAAAAACGTTTACACTACTATGTATTCATTATATGTTTATTTTTAATATAATTCAAATTTAAAAACACTGTTTCACATTTAATTATTCTTTAATTACCCATAAAATGTTTTCTTCTAATGGATGCTATAATAAAACCTCAATGCATTGGCGTATTTAAATTCTAAATAAACTTACTAGTTTTAAAACTTAAGATTATAGATAAAATTAAAAAATCCTAGCTCTGCTAAGTAAAATAATCTTTCTACTGATTTATTTTACATATTTTAGAATCATCTGCAATGACATATTAATATGTCATTAAAGCTTATTCGAATATGCCAAAAGATTTTATTTTATTTTCAGTATTGATACTATACTTATTTATAGTATTATAAAGCTAACTAAACTTTTATTTTTGAAAACAGACATCAACAGTTATAACTTAGTTAAAATACTAAATGCAATTTGATAAGCAAAAATTTAATGGCTTTGATTCGTTTTGAGAATAAAAATATTTATTAATATTTTAAAAAACAGAAATTAAATAGATTGTTAAAAATGAATTAAGAATGAATCATTTTAAAATTGTGCCAAATTTCGAAGATATAAATTTTGAGATTTACTACTGCAACATATTAAATATATAACACTTGATGTTTGAATAAAAAATACGATGGAAAAGAATTATTTTCGGCATTTTACTTTCTGTCATTGAGTTAAAAAAATACTTACAATCATTTAAATATTTGACTAAAAGTTTATTACTTTTCATAAAAGTATATTGATATATTTTTTTTACGAGTCACTCCATCTGAGTTTTTTTTTAATTCTTGAAACAAAATTATTGAAGCTACAACTGTTTGATAAGTAAAAGCTTTTTTTAACAAAAAAAATCAATGCTATAATGATCATATTATTTTGAAAGCGTTTATCTTTCAAAAATCATTTAAATGCCCAAGAAAAAAAGTATCAAAGGAAAAGTCTGAAGAATATGATAAAGGATGCAAAAACTTAAAAGATCATTTTGAAATCTATGTTATTATGACGAAAATTAACAGTTTTGAATTCACTGACATTACAATTAATGACAGCACTTTACGATTTCTGAATGTTGTATCATCCTGTCTAGAAAGGAAAATTAAAGATTATCAATAATTAAAAGGCAATTTAATTTAACTTCTTAATAGCGTACTTCTCCTAAACAGTAGAAAAGCGCCATACTCTAAACTTTTAAAATTAACAAATACAGAGAAATATAACAGTGATAATTAGCTGCATCTAATGTAACAGATAAATATTACGATTAAGTTTTCAGTTAATGTTAAAAGCTTGGCAATAAACTAACAATGAATCAAACAATGTATTGATTGACTTTTTATCAATGGTTGTAATTATTGACTGATAAGATCGAAAGTTAAGAACCATCTTTTACACTTATCATTTTTAAAATAATATTAGAAAAAAATATTAAAATATTTTCATTAGAAAATTAAAAATCTTGGAGTATTATTTTCACATAACCCATTAATAAAGAAATAAAATAAAAACTAATAAAGCTTTCAAAAGAAATACTCTAGAAAAATAATTAGATTTAAAAATAACAATCATTAAGAGTTAATGAGGACATTTTCTCCATATTTGCTGCAGTTAAAACAATAAAATCAATAGCTATGCTCGAAGGTTTAAAGTATGATAAATTTAAAGTTAAATTATTTTATATGTAGCTCTCTTATAACCTTGAAAAAAGTTTATTCCCCCTTTTATGATATTTTTGTTTCAGTTTTTCAGAAATTTTGTTTCTTATTATCATCTAAAAGTCAAAAATAACAATATTTTTTTTAAAAAATTTACCACTGGGCAATATTTATTGGTTCGGTGTTTTAATTGTATGTAAAAACGATAGAATCATATTTATTTTTAATAAAAAGGAGCTAAAATATATAATAATCTATCTAACCTCCTGTTTTTTTTATGAACGACACATTTTCAGCTTACTTAAATTTTCTAGACTTAGTTATTATTTAAAAAAAGGTAGCTTTAAATATGTCGAAATATATTACACATTTCAAACATATTGTGCATTTTAAAAACATAATTTTGCACTCTCATTAATGTAAAAATGTCCAAGATACGTTTTTTATTTTCTGAAAAATTGTGTTTCTTTGTTTGCTGTTAGTTACTAACAAGATTCGTTTTTAATAGCTGTCAGTGTGATTAAATATATAATAATTTTAAACCATTAAACATTTTTCTTCAAAAATATTATAAGAAGGTATTAATGAATTTGGGTAAAGAAACTTACCAATGGTTGTAATGACAGTCAATGAATATAGAAAAGCCCCAGAAAAAGACCACTGTTGATTTTTACCATCCTTTCCATCATATCCATCTTTAACAGCAGCAATTAGTTCTGTTTGAAAATGCTTCACTTCATGGGCAACCATTCGCGTCCAATTATCCTTATAAAGTACATTAAGATTGTCCGTTATTTCCCAAAGCCGTCGCACAGTTTCAGATCTTAGTTGGCTTACTTGGTGAGCTTTTTCTTCCTCATAAGGGGCTTCTAATGCCCTGAAAGCGAATGCACCCATAACGCTGTATCCAATAACCAAAGCACATAGTCCAACATGTGAAAAAAGAAAAGTGGTAAAACGTCGACAACAACCTTTGCACTTGGATTCTCTGTGGTGATTACCTCTCTTCCTCGGAGGGCGGTGATGGCCGGGGCCCATCATACCACCAGTACGATTCATTTCCATTTCCATAACTATTTCTTCGGGATTTTTCTTTGCCTAAGTTAAGGAAATATGATGCATCGTATACTGAATTCCCAAACATGTCCTTAACATCTTGTACGTAATGTAGAACTTCTTAAACTTTCGGATTAGTGCACTAGTTTTTCAACTGGGATGGCTCACATTCTGTTTAAAGATTAATTTACGAACACAAATTAACATAAGTTTTTTTTTCGTTGGTAAAGTTTTATCCTGTGTAGTAGAATATAAAGGACATGTTTTTATAAAATAATTATTTACTCATACTGGATTATGTGTACTAAAGGAGAACTTCAAAATTAATTTCACTATACAAAAATTTATGCATTTTAACTATTAGCTAATTTTTTTTAAATTTATTACTCCTTTATTTTATGAGCCAACTGAAATTTCAAAAAAAATAGAAAGTGTCATGTCTCGCAGTATGGTATGCAACAAAATTCAAAAATTCTAAGTAAATCAAGATGGACATCCATGGCCTTCATTCATGAAGTAAAAATGGTAGCCATGATCTATATTGACGGAGATGAAATTTCAAATAGCCATTATCATCGTAAATTCTATAAGCTCTCCGATACAATCGCCTTAAAATTGCAACAAATATTAACATGAGCATTGGATACAACATGATTTTTTCCTAATCATGAAACTTAAATATTTCGAATAGTTCATTAAGGATCTGTGTAGCCTTACTAGTTATTATTTAAAATTTTGATTTAAAATTACATGATATTTTGAAACATTTCATGCATGTTTGTTTTATTTAAACAAACGATCGTGTACAATTTAAAACAGTTTAACATTGGTTATAATTGTTCACAAAAAATTTAGTAGACACAGGCATTTTTTTTTCTAAAGAAAATGCAGATTCTCTGCATTGGAACAACGAATAATAAACATAATCCTGTGGCCACACATTCGCTAATTTTGAAGCAGAAATCACATGGCACAAGTAACAGTAGTAGCTGGATTCGGCTGATAGGCTTAGTCGAAATCAATAATAAAATTCAACTCATAAATCCTGACAAAAAGTAAGAAAATCTAATGAAAATGATCTCTAAAGTGACGACAGAAAATCTGAAATTTCTTCAATACTGCTACACAAGGAAAAAAAAATTTGGTGAACTCATAGGAATCCTAAGAATTAGATTTGACTCCTATCACACAAGTTTTCCTACACGGTAAGCAAACTGCAGAACCATCTGACTCAACTGCTGTGAAACGATTTGAGCTCAGTATTAGAAGAATTCCATTCCAAAGCTTCGGCAGGGAGAAGAGAAATGCGCCATCTTGTGGAAGTAATTTCATACACTGCCGGTTATTTAATTAACTCGTTTTAAAGAAGAGGCATGTGAATGAAATGAAGTAATTAGAATTTTCTTCATTAATTTTTAATTTATTTATGAAATTCAATAGATGATTTATTTTAATATCTTATTAAAAGTACATATACCGAGTCCTATTTCGACTAATTAATTTGTGTTGTGTTTTGTTTAAATGAAGATTTAATTATTAAAATAAGCTTTCGAACGCAAATTAAATTGCTGAAAATATGAGTATTTTTCTTTAGTTTTTGTATTGTTTTTCATTTTCTGGCAATTTAAGAGTGTTTTAATCTTGAATTTTTAAAACAAAGATTAAATTTCGTAGTCAGTTATTCTTAATTTTTTTCCATGCTTCAGGGATTAAATTCTTTTTTTTGTGTTTATGTGAAATTAAATATCTTCAATATTTTAATTGTAGTTATAAAACATCAGAGATTTAGCAATTTTATTTTATCATTATCTTAATTATGTGTAAAGGAAATTTAGTTTTAGCTTTATTACAATAATTTATTATTTCTTTTTTTCTTTTTTAGCCTATAGATAAAAATATATTTTATGTACATTTTATTAAAGAATAAAATGCTTATTTCAGACATTTTATAAATACTTAGATTGGAGTAGTAATATCATTTTTAAATTCATTGTAAAATCATTGCAATGCATTTTTTAATAATGTATAAAAATTCAATTCGAAAGATTTTTCTTATAAATATCCAAATGCTACTTTTTAATATGAGGAAGTAAAAAATGTAAAGTGTATCATTTTGATAGTAATTTTCAGACCTCCAATTTGAAATATACTATCTGTCTCCAATCAAATAAAACCTCTAATCTGAACTTCAAATATAAAGGGAATTTTAATTACTTCAGTTTATATAAACAAGCCGTCCTTACTTATCCTCTTTGTGCCGAACTTGCACACAATGCCTCTAATCTTTTTCTCCACACACTCCTGTCTTTGGCCAGGCAACGGGCTTCTTCCTATGCAGCTAATCTTACTCTACTAAGATCTTCCTTAATGCTTTGTTGCCATGTTAGTCTTAGTTTCCCTCTTTTTCTCCTTCCATCAGGCTCCCATGAGTTTGCAACATTTGCAGGATTGTTTCTATCTGTTCCTAGTATATGGCTGATCCATCTCCATCTTCGTTTTAAAATTTCTTCATTGACAAATGGTATATTAGATTTTGTTAAAAGATCTTTATTTGTTATACTATTGAGACAGTAGATTTTTAGTATCATTTTTAAACATCTATTTTGAAAAGTTTCCAGCAGCAAGACTGTCCATTTAAACAAGACGGTACATTTTAATTGCATAGAACAATTTTTAAGTTATCAAAAAATTAATAATGGGTCCTATGGATTTACTCTGAAGTTTTTTGAGTTCCGTGTGTTTGAATAACTTTTTAAAAATCAAAACTGACTGATATGGATATAAGTTACACAGTTATCAAAATTAAACAGTGAACAATTAGTTGACATATTTCAGTGAATTATACAAATTTTTTTAAAAGATGTTTTATAATATATTTTAAGAAGGTGTTATAACGTTTTTGGAATAATCGTTGTCTTAAAGATTGTGACTTCTACAAATTATAAAAAACACCATCTAATTTGTTACGGGTGTAGCATTTGGTGTTACGGATATAAGACGCTATGATTTTAAATTATGAATTGCCTTTCACAAAATGGAAACCATAAGTACCCAAAAAATTACAAAAGGACTTATTTAATTTAGAAATAATAGCTTTAAACGTTATAGGAGTAGTTCTGGAATTTGATATTACGGAATTGAATTTTCTAGGGAAAAAAGAATTTTATTAACAAATTTTTAGGAAAAACAAATACTTCTTTTACGTTTCTTTTACAAAAAATATTTAAATAAAGTTTTACAAAATAAGAAGATCGTTTCTTGATCATGTTTGGGATTAAATAAAAATGAATAATGCCCATATTTTAATTGTAACGTAAGAAATTTCCGATGCCGTAATGAAATTTATTATGGGGAAAATTAGAAAACTTTCGTTTTTTCTTTGAGTCTGCTGAATCTTTAATAGGCTTAGCATTATTTTTTCAGTATTTTAGCGTTTCTTAAAACAGTGCAGGTTGCTGCACTGTTAAAATTTTTATTCTAAAATTACGGTGAAATTATCGGCAGCTGTCTGTCTATCCAATTATCTGTAAAGTACATGGTTAGAAAAATATTTTCTACAATTACGGTTTCAAAACCGTTTACAACTAGAATGGTTATAAAACTAAGAATACAAAACTATACGGTTTTTAACCACTTACAAATAGCATGGTTAAAAAATGGTTAAAAAGAAACTTTTTCTGAACATAGAAGCTAGGCTTGTCGTTAGATAATAAGCATTAGGGAGGGCAAGACGCTGGAAATTCCTCATGTGTTGAAGGGAACAGAGAAAATACTGTGTCATCAACGCTGAGTCTCGAACCCCAATTACCAACTATGTCGATCATTTTCGTCGATCCCGAGGCAGATAAATTAGCCTCCGCGGCTATAACATGTGCTCAGTTGGAAGGAACTAAATAGTTTCATTAGGTGAGCTTAGTCGCTGCGAAAAAATTCAGATTGTTTAACCGTATCTGTTGCAAGCAGTTAATAAACTGGGTTTTTTTCACAGTTAACAGCTTAAGTATCATCTTACTTATGGCTATTTGAATGTTTTGTTTGAATATGGTAAAATAACCATAAATGAACACATTAACCATTTTATTTCTGAGAAATTTCTAACTGAGCAGAAAAAAATATCAACATATTGAAAATCAAGTAGTTTCATTCAGATCTGTCAATGAATTGTCATTTAGCGAATCTGAGATCATTGCATATGAATATATTCTTCCTATAGTGTATGCGATTGCTGTATACATTATAGTTTAGTCATTTGTCCAGTATGCCCTTTATCCCTCTTTTTGGTTTGAACAATGGTGAAATTCTTGCTGAAATCCATCCCATGAATACGTACTCTTATACACATACTCTTATCTGATATCTGATTTTTGCATTCATGAAAGTAAAGGTGTTTCAATGTATTTATTCACAATGTTTAAGAAATGAAAATTTCGATAAAATTTTTAAAACACCATAATATTGCAGTAAGTGTTGAATTAAATTTCAATTTAGAACGAATAATATATCCCATAAAATATCACTATTTTTAAAAACAAGGTCATAAAAAAAAAGATTTTTTTTATTATCTTTATTTGAATCAAAATTTGGTAGTTCATTAAAAATTTTAGAACAAATAATTTATTTAATACAAATAATTTAAAGTCTACATTTTTACCAAAAATGAAACTACATATTTCCTGTCATTCGAAAGATTTTCTGTTGCAAGATTTGAATATATAATCAACATCATAGGTAGAAATTACCAGTTACCAGTAACTAATCATCAGTAACTAAAAAAGTATGGAAACATTTTCAATAATCCATATCCATATCTTGATTAGTCTTTTAAGTTAGTAAAATGAATTTATATGAAAAAATCTAATAATTTCTAATAACACAATTTTGATGAAATATGATATTTTGTGTCAAAAACATTGACCAAAACATGAAACTAAAAACCACAGAAACTAGAAGCCTCATTTAAAGCAGATTACTATTCCATGAAGAATAATAGTTAGTATGGAGGACCCTTGTGAATTATTTCACGGTAGTTTGAGTCGTAATCAACTTCTTGGAAAAATGAATCAGTGATTATTTCAAGCCCTAGCACCAAATAATTTATCCAGAGTAAAATGCAATTTCTTTTAAAATATTATTAAGTTTTTAGAAAAATATTTCATCTGAAAACATTTACCTTATAAATACGAGACATTCTAAATTAAATCAAACTGAATTTTGGGACGATTTAAAAGAACAAAAGTTAAGAAGCTTAATCATTTGGTCTCTCCCAATTTTTTTTATATCTAACGATTATTATTATTCAATTTTATTTCTTATTTGAATTGAAATTCTCAATTTGTTTGGACATGTAACAATGTAGATATGGTACGTCTGGAACTAGTTTTTAAAAGAATTTCATGCATGCTTAGAACGAAAATGTTCATGGAATTTAAAGTGTTACTAAATGATCAAAAGTGATTTGAAAAATATTGCTTGCTTTTGATTTAAAAAAAAACTCTTGCTAAATTTATATAAATAGATATAAATAAAAAATATAATATTAATAGATTAAATACTGAAAATATTTTATTAAATATAAAAATGGAGTATTTAAATGAGGCCCTTATTTCACATAGCTCTTGAAGAAAATGACACTTGAGTTCTCAGTTTAAAATGGCGCCATTATATAATTCCTGGCCAAATTAATAGTCTCATTAGTCTTACTGGTATTCTATATAAAATCTTTATTAGCAGGTGACACTATACCACTTTATTGTTTTCATGCGAAGAAAACTGCTTTGCTCTTGTTTAAGTTCGTATATCAATGGATTAAACATTGTGATGCAATACGTTAAAAATAAATACAAATAGAAAGTATGCAAAAAATCTCCTGACTAAACACCCAATACATAAATGTTTAAATTTTAAAGTATTGCATATTAACTCGTGCAAAACAAATAATTATTAAAAAACTACAGTGCGTCTAATAATTTGGCTGAATTGTTATAATATGCGAATATAATACGTGATACAATAAATAGTTTATATAATATATCGTATAATTTATGCAATCGTAGAATTTATATTATGTATCGTCTAATTTAACCAATTGATGCACAAATGTAAGCAAGTGTAAACTGGTTTGAGTCGCGTAAAAACAAAAAAGCTGTATAGTATTACCTGATAATTAAGATTCAACATAGAATCTTATAGTTCATTTAATGATATGGCCAGGGACTGTATATGTTACAAGAAATCAATCTATGTAAAATTAAAGTATACATTTTAAACTTTAAAATGA